TCTGCTACATTTTGATTGATTACTGATCGATGTTTAGAATGTGAGAGTTTTCATTTAGCAAAGCCCAGAAGCATCTTTCAGAATCAGTTTCTGACAACCCAGTGCTACAGCTGCCAATTGTCTGGGGTGGCGCTGCTGTCTAAACTACAGAGCCTAGGGCTTGCTGATCAGTAGGTCGGCGGTTCAAATCCCCACAACGGGGTGAGCTCCCGTTGCTCGGTCCCAGCTCCTGCCCACCTAGCAATTTCAAAGCACGCCAAGGTGCAAATAGATAAATAGGTACCGCTCCGGCGGGAAGGTAAACGGCGTTTCTGTGCACTGCTCTGGTTCGCCAGAAGCAGCTTAGTCATGCTGGCCACATGACCCGGAAGCTGTCTGCGGCCAAACGCCGGCTCCCTCGGCCTATAGAGCGAGATGAGCACGCAACCCCAGAGTCATCCGCGACTGGACCTAACAGTCAGAGGGTACCTTTACCTTTAAGGTGTGGGTCAGTTTTATATCAATTGGGCACTGATGCCTGCACTCAACACACCACTTTAGCTATGCATCAAGGTGCAAGTCCATCAAACCTCAGCAGGATCAGGCATTAGGTCATCTGGGGTCTGGGACCTGCGAGGCACTGGCTGTTGGTCCAAGCAGGCCAGAGGCAGTGGTGAGTTCCAGAATGAACAACAACAAAAAGCGTTTAACAGGTCAGATGCAAGTATGTAGAATAAGGAATGCAGGCAGCAATAAGGTAAAGAGAGCAGGAGACTAGTACAATCCTTACCCTATAGACAAATTGCTGTGATGAAGGATGAAGCTCTGAGGTCCAATGTGCCCTATGCATTTAAAGCAGAACCATAACATTTTAAGTTTCCCCCCAAATAAATGTGGGGCCTGTAGTTTGTTATGGGTGCTGAGGGTTGTTAGGAGACCCCATTCCCCTCACAGAACTACAGTTCTCAAAGTTCGCTTGGGATAAGGGACTGATTGCTAAACCACTCTTGGAATTGCAGTGCTATGATGGGAACAGCCTAACAACCCTCAGCACCCTCACCAAACTATGGTTCACCGGATTATTTGTGGGAAGCAGAGACTGTCTAAAGTGGTGTGATACTGCTTTAAATATATAGAGTAGGAGTAGATGGAGTCTAAGACTAAATGAACAACATAAAGAAACACGTACGGTCCTAAAACAAAAATTAGCATTGTGGGGTGCTTCTCTTTATGGTTCTAGCCATTCCCTTCCATCCTGTCTGCCATGGATATCTGCCTTCCACTTTCTACCCCAAACAGGTAGTCAGCTTTTCATGCCCTTTTGACAAATTCAATCTTCATTGGATTTCTTTGGTTTTTGCAATGGAGACACTGGTGCCCAGTCTCAGTGACATTAAAATCTTGTATGTCTCCGTTGATTTCTATAGACAACTCTCACTTCTGTTCCCAGGGACATCTAAAAATAGTTTCTTAGAATGAGACAGAAAATAACCTATCCAGACAATGTGATGGTTCTCTCTATTTCCCACCTCTGTGAGTCCCTTTCTCTGTCCTCTTTTTCCAGCCACTTCAGTTTGTTCTCCCTTCTTTTTGGTTTTCTATCTCCCCACACCCGACTGACTCTGTCATCATCGGTCAGCATTTTATGCTGTCCTCATTTATCTGTTTCGTAGTTTCTGCATTACCCCCATAATAGGACTTAATTTACTTATGCCACAAGTATATCAGAACAGAATGACATGCATAGCTGTCAAGTGTCCCTTATTTGAAGGGACAGTCCCTTATTCCAGCGCCATGTCCCACTGCTGTCCCTTATTGATGGATGTCCCTTAAATGTCCCTTAAATGATGTCCCTTAAATTTCAAAGGAAGCAGCTCCTCTCCCTCCCTCCCTGCCGGCCAGGGAGGAGGGAGGCTCCAACTGTGTTGCTTGGCTGTGTTGCTCACCCAATAAGAAGTCTAAGAATGACTGGGGGGTGGAGCTTGCATGCCTTGTGTGTGGCTAGTTAATGCAAGCTGAGGGGTTTTTTGAATGCTGGACGCCATTTTGTTGTACGTGCTGCTGCAAACTTTGCAGTGCAAAGCCAGGCCAGGGAGCCATCTTAAGCTGAGGCTGCATAGGCCTTGTGGTGCATGTGATTCAGATTCTATTCAGTTGAACCTCTGGTTACAAAGTTGGTTGGACAGTGTTCTCAAAGCTACCAGCATGAGTTTGACCAGACTGCAGGAGAACAGGAAGACTGGAGTGCCTGGAACAGGTGAGGCTGAAGGTCCTTTATTTTGGCTGCTGGTCTCTTATTTTCAAGGCTGCTGGTCCCTTATTTTCAAATCTGTAAGTTGACAGCTATGATGACATATCTCTCAATGGTTCGGACAAAATGAATGGATACCATTCATTCACAAAGGAGCCTCAGCTCACTTATTATAGGCATGAGTTTGTTTTGTTCATTTGACCATTAATGCCACGGACTATATTTTTTCTATATTATTGTTCTAGTGTAGGGGAAACCTTTGCTCCTCCACAGGTGGGCTATTTCTAACTTTGCTGCCAAGAATTAAAAAAGTCAGGGAGGATTCTGGGCACGGTGTCCTAAAGTTCTTGTCCAAATGTGCTTAATGCTGCCAACTTAGCTGTAGGTACAAAGCTGCAGTGTGTAATATTATTAATTTCATCAAAGACTTGCCTCCAGAAATGTGTGAATTGTTGTTATACATGAAATTTTCAAAGACAGAGCTTGTATTTTGGGATTTTTACAGTGCAGTGTTATTGCAAAGGCTTCCTTTTGCATTGATTGAAGGATCAGGCCATGGGCATAGGCCAGTGATAAATAACTAGTGAAGTTGAGAATGCATGGGTGAGAATGCGTAGGAGAATGGGTCAATAACTTAGTGAGATACAACTATGTTCATTCAGGCACTATTTGCTTCTCTAGACTCAACAGCAAACATGTGAGCTGTGGTGGGGACATGCCATGAGCAGGACCTCAAGGAATATTCTTCTCAATCATTAGTCGTGTTGCTGAATAAATTAATTAGAGCCTTTAAAGGAGAGAAGGAGAGAGAGGAAAAACCCTCTGGCTTCCACCCACAAGTCCCCTGAAGTGTCAATATTTTGGGTTTATTAATGAACTTCAAAACACAAGGTGTGACGTGGTATGTCTCTAAGCAGCAGGCAGCTGGCATTTTGCCTAATTCTCCCTTCTCCTTCTTTCATGTGGGGAGGAGATTATGGTTTTGTTGCTGTTTGTATTCTGTACCTGAAGGGTGACACTTTAAAAAGGAAAACGTGGCTTCTGTGTGCCCCATTTTGGAAGCCTTCCAAACCACATGTAAGTGATGTATTTGTCTGTAGCCTCTTTCCTCCAGCTCTTTCCTTGGAGGTATGAGACTTAATATTTCAAACCACTGGTCTATCTATTTTGCGATGCCCTCGGCCTAGGTGATATTTCAGTGCAGGGGTATAAACAAAATATTCTCGCTAGCCTCTTTCAGAGTTATGCACCATTAAGAAAATGGTTGTTTATTTTAAATCTAGGGTTCTTTACAGAAGTGTTAGGTTATGGAAAGTGATGTGTTTGGCCAGAGACACTACTTCAAACTACAGGACAACATGACCCAGTCCCAATTTCCTGTAGCTTTTGCATGCAAGAAGCCCAAGATTCAGTTCCCAGCCTCTCCAAATGTCTCCTGTCTGAAAATCCTAAAATGCCAGTCAATGTAGACAACACTGAGCTAGATGGACCGATGTTCTAACAGCTTTTTCTTATATTCATTGACTGGCTAATACACCTTTCCCACACTATGAACACAGGAAGCTGTCAGAACATTGGAGGACCAGCATCTTTGCTCAGGTATGATAGGCACACACCCTCTGTACTTTCTGGAAAGAACTGAAGCGTTTTGGTTTTGGCAGCCTTCTCCATCTGGATGAAAAGGTATCTGCCTTAGGTCTTCATTTGTTTTTAAACCTATCTTCACTTGTCTTTTGTCCTGTTTTTTAAAATAAAAAATTAGCTGTTTTTCACCAGGTGAATCATTCAGATAAGATACCAGCATCCCAAAGGGGTTCGGGACTGGCATGAGAAAGCCGTGACAGTTAGATGCCTTCAGATCCCAGATTCACCCTTGCTTTGCGAGGCTGGAATCGAAAGGTGCGTGACCGTTGCATCCTGCTCACATCGCCCTGCCAGCCCTGAGCCACTTTGTGAGGCTGTGATGACCCAAGGGCTGTGTCTGCAGGCCAGGCCCCTCTTTTCGCGGGCAAGCAGGCAGCACAGCGCTGCCCCACTTCGCTCCAGTGGATAGGGGGCTGCTCTGGCAGCAGCCGGGGGGCTGGCATGGCAGGCTCTATTCACCCTCCGTGCCCTGCATGTGTGCCCCCCCCCCAGTGCCAGTAAACCTTACTCTGCTGCTGGGGAGAAGGAAGAGAGTCTACACACCATGTCCTTTAGATGGTGCCCCTGATTATAAGCAGTTAAAGTGTTAATAGCTCCAAGACTTCTTGAGCTGTTTTTTTTTTAAAAAAGAGACTGCTTATGAGAAGCCTGCTCTGTCCAACACAATGTTGGCCTGTCTGGGTAAAGGGCTACGTTGTAGATTAACAACTTTTTTTTTGGTAGCTTCCTTGGAATAGAAGCATGGTCTGGATTTGTCCCTTCCTGGGGGCATACACCACAAGCATTCAGGAAATGAATAGGCCAAGTTGAATGAAGATTCAATGGATTTTTGTTTGGTATGCAGTTTTGAAATTATTAACCCCACTCCCATACCTCTTAATTGCAATGAATGAATCTATTCATTTCTACAGGATAAGGGGGATGAAATCACAATGAACTCTGCTTATGCTAAAGAAGTCTCTTTCTCCTCCCTCTCTGCAATAAACACACACACACACACACACACACACACACACACTTTCTATTTTCTATTTTCTCTTCTCCCTACAGGGTGATCCACTATAAACTGCTCGGAAAAGAAAACGTTATATAAACTATTCAGCAGTTTCATAAAGAAGGAACTCTTCCCTACACTACCTCTTTGAGTCTAGATGCTTGTTTCCCTTGGCTTTTAACAGGTATGGGAAAGCAAAAATGGTGTGTTTTCAATCATATTTTATATATATTATATATATTGTATATTATATATATATATTATATATAAGCCAAGGGAAACAAGCACCCAGACTCAAAGAGGTAGTGTAGGGAAGAGTCGCTTTTTTATGAAACTACTGAAAACACCTTTGGGTGGTAAAACAATAATAATAATAATAATAATAATAATAATAATACAATTCCAGAAACACTTGGGGGAAAAAGAAACTTTCTGATAAGATCTCTGCAATTCCCAAGAGAGTTAAATATCTCCCAGTCTCAAGCTTGGCTTAAAGGGAACTGGATCATCACAGGGCATCACAGGGTGGGGTGGGAATCGGTGACTATTAAAATGGAATGAGATTGCTTTAACTCAAAGAGTGTGGAGCACCACACTGGTGTGGCAGGAAAGAATGGCAAGTGTGGTGGGAACATTCAATGACCATCAAAGAAACATTTCAACTTCCTCTCTGATAGTACTTCACTTCATTCAACACAGTACTATGGTCTTCCATCCTTCCCTATGGTCCTGTCAAGACTTCCACTCCATTGTAGCCTGTCACTCTTTCAGCACCTCCTTTGCAATTTCCTCACATCCTCAGCTGCGTCTTAATGCTATTTTCTCAAAGCACCACAAAAATTGTAACTTGAGCTTAGTTCCATATGTGACTTTCAAGATGCCTGATTATGGTGGATGTTGTGTGTGTTGCTTACTTGAATCTAGGTGAACTGTGAAAAAGGGAACACTGTCCTTGTAGTAAGTTAAAACATTTTAAAAATACTATATTAAATTATATTCATGGATTTTCATGGCATAGTTCTCCACTGTACCAGCTCTCTTCTAAATGGATCTAATCTTTTACCTATAGTTCTTCAATAGCTTATAGAAGTGTTTTTTCTTTTTAAAATAGTTTAGAGGTACTCTCATTTTGACTCAAGAAAATCACCATTTTATAGTTCAAATTGGGAAAAATAAATACAGTAAATGGACAAAAGTACAAAGAACATGCATTATACCGGGAAAGGAAATGAAGCCACCATTGGAGGTGGTAACAATGAAACTGACCAATCACTGTGCTTGATTCCAACTCCTACTTCACACATTAAACACTCACTTCTATCTAAGACTAACACCATGAAAGGAAATGAGGTTGCCATTGGGGGTAGCAACAGAACTGATGATTCACCATGTTGTTCAACAGAACTGACGATTCACTGTGCCAGAGAAGAAACTATTAATTTTTTTTAAAAAAAATAGTTTCTTCTCCTGTTAGATTCACAAAAAGTTTAGGAGTATGCAAACCCCCTGCGTTCTCCCCAGAAAAAAAGCACTGGCTAATAGTCTAGACTCTTACGACACTGCCAAAGTCACAGTATGACCCTCACTCCATTCACTGCATATGGCAAAACATAGTTTGAAGCATTTTTCTCTTTGAGAACAGGATGCACCAGTATCCTTTTGAAATGGTAATATTAGCTTTTACGGAGTATTGAACTGATGTAGACTTCAATATACAAGATAATGGCCTTTTAAAACTGCCCAGTGTTTCACTGTGCTTCCTAATCTTTGCAGCACAAAGTGAATGTTTGGATTCCTACCTTAATATAACACCCTAAAATTAAATGAATTACTGAGTGAGTGCAGATTTCTGGACTCAGAAAAGCACGGCGTGTAAAAAAACACAAAAAGACTACACAGCTTAGGAGTGCTTCAGGGACTTTTGCAAATGGTTGGCCTAGATACAGACAGATACTCGCCTTCTGAAATCTAATATAAATTTGGGACTTTAAAATCTATATGCAGTATTTACATTATTCTTCTTTTGCCGCCCCCTCAGAAGAGCATCTTCACAAGGCTTCAGAAGCTATCAGAGTTCTGGCTGTGGACAAATCTACATCTCTTTCTGGTTTTAGCATGCTACATGGGAATTGTGTTTTTGTTCAGTGAAGCTATTTTTGTTGCTGGCAGAGGGGAAAGCTTGGTTTTGCTCTTGCTTTGCTGTGTTGAATTTGTCATGCTTTAAATCTTTCTGCCTCATTGACTTTGAGAACTGCCTGGGTTCTGTTGATTATTGACTTAAGATCAGCTGCACTGTATCTAATTTGCTCTAGTCTGGTCCTTGATTTGGAGTCTGGTTGATTAGAATAGCTCCATTTTCTTTGGCCTCAGATAAGCTCATTTGTGCTTCTGTGTCTTGATCTTTATTTGGATCCGTTATTCCAATATGCATTAAATGTTGCAAAGTCTGTCCAAGCTTCAGCGCAAAATAACACTTGGAAAAATGTCCAGCCAATCAGAAATCTAGATCTGAACAAGGCATGCTCCGTTGGAGATTATATTGCTTTTTCTATATATGCCATGCCAAGCTACACGGGGAAAATCAATAGTTTTGCTACTTTGTTTAAAATTGGAGTGCCTGTCCAGTTATTCCTACTCTTTGCTTTCTGCATCTTAAACAATTGTTTATCTGCAAGAGGATCTCTCCTCTTATTCCTTAACCGCTAAGCTTACTCAGGAGTCTTTGGTGAGGTACTTTGCCAAAAGCCTTCAGAAAGTTCAAGCAGTGGCGTAGCATAGGGGGCAACAGAACTGGTTGCCCCAGGCACAAAACTGTTAGGGGAGCAAAATTTCAACACCCAGTACTGCCTCAATATGGCTGCATGCTTCTGTTCCTGGGCTCCATTGAAAACAGCTTCTCCATGAGAACCAAGAAGTGACCTCTCCAGACAGTGGAATGACTCTTCTTTTCTTATCTCTGTGACTGCAGTCTCCTGGGTAATGCAGACACTGTTAGGCAGTTGAATGCACAAGCTTACTCTGTCTGTTTGCCTCTGTCCCACCCACCCCTCTGCATGGCCCCGGGTGCTGGCAACCCACAGTATGCTACTGAGCCCAAGTACAATCTCAAAGAACTGTTTGTGAGGCAGGACTTGCCCTTGCAGAAGCCATGCTGGTTGTGCTTTAACAAGGTTTGTTCTTCTATATGCTTGGCTATTTTTATCTTTATCAGTACTTCCCATCAGTTTTCTCAGGACAGCTGTTAAGCTAATAAGCCTGTAATTTACAGGATTCCATCTCCGCACGCATGCCTCTGAACACTTTTTAAAAAAATGGTTTCATATTAGTTACTTTCCAGCCCTCAGGCATGGAGGCTGATCTGAGGGGCAAGTTATATAGTTTTGTTAGAAGATATGCAATTTCACATTTGAGTTCTTTGGGAACTCTCCTGTGAGTGCCATCTGGACCTGGCAATTTGTCAGTTTGCCTCGTAAGCCTAAAATTTTATATCTCATCACTACTATCTGCCTCAGTTCCTCAGACCCACTTCCTACAAAGGTTACTTCCATCGTAAGGTAAATGTAAAGGGACCCCTGACCATTAGGTCCAGTCGTGGCCGACTCTGGGGTTGCGGCGCTCATCTCACTTTATTGGCCGAGGGAGCCAGCGTACAGCTTCCGGGTCATGTGGCCAGCATGACTAAGCCACTTCTGGTGAACCAGAGCAGCACACGGAAATGCCATTTACCTTCCCACTGGAGTGGTACCTCTTTATCTACTTGCACTTTGACGTGCTTTCAAACTGCTAGGTTGGCAGGAGCAGGGACCGAGCAATGGGAGCTCACCCCATCATGGGGATTCGAACTGCTGACCTTCTGATCGGCAAGTCCTAGGCTCTGTGGTTTAACCCACAGAGCCACCCGCGTCCCACTTCCATTGTAAAGACAGATGTAAAGAAATAATTCAACTTATCTGCAATGCATGCATGTCCACTTATGCATCTCTGAAAAAGAGGACCCTTGGAAAAATAGGTCATAAAATTGTGCATGTCAATCTTTATGTATACATAAAACGTAGAAATAATTTCTATAATATAAACAGAAATAGAATCCATTTCACAGACAGGGGAAGTCTAATCTGATTGGGCCATCTGTGTGCTTGCTAAGCCTACCTCCAGGCACTAACCATTGATGGGCAGCTTTGAGGTCCCTCCCTTCTTAGGGTTCCTTATCCTTAAAGCAGACTCGGACTGGACCACCCTTCACAAAGAGAACTGATATCAGTGGAGGACTATCATCATAATGTAGGACACATAACAATCCTAAATAAAGGTCAGGCACGTGGTTGTTCTTATAAGAAAATTGTAAAATGTAAGGGAGGGGTGAAATTACCCTGTGAGAAAACATACCAGCATTGTGAAGAACCTACCAGAATCACATTTAATAAAATGGATTTTAGTCAGAGGCTTATAGCCTATTATTTTAGGGTCCAAAATATATCCCATCTTATAACTATCACTTTCATCATCACTGTGTATTTATAATTCTGGATTTGGACAAATGAACGCTGTTCTAACTAGTGTCTATAAAAAGAAATTATGCCGATATTCCACATGACTGTGAAATATCAGTGTGTGACAAGAAGCCTGAAGGATTTCCTTCCTGTCTTCCTTCCCCATCAGGAGCTGCAGTCAAATTTATAGACTGAGACTTTCATGTGGAACATATTTTGACTCAGATACTCTTGCCTGCAAGACTCACAATCTCACATGTGGGTGTTTTATGTAGAAGAGGGGAAAGCAATATGTCATCTTGGCTTCTAATCTCAGATTGCATAAAAATACTCCCACTTTCCTTTGTCAATACTATCAGCAATACCCCACTCTCCTCAACATTTACAATATCCTGTCAGGGCATAGAGGCAGAACAACATGGAGGCAATTTTGGCCTGTGTTTTGCTGAAATGAAATGGATGACAGGAATTGAGGGGGCTTCACCCGGGTCAAAACAAACCCTGGCTAGTCCCACCCATGGCTATGGCACTACTTTGGCAAAGTGCTCTTAGATGGGTCCCTTCCCATGCCAGTGTGCCTCAGTGGGTTAAGCTGGTAGTGGCGGCGGCAGCAGTGCTGTGCTGTGTACTGGGTGGGCCTGGTGTTGTCCCTTTTGGAAAAAATTGCCACAGTGCCCATAATATAGTATTGAAGGTATTCTTGGAAAATTAAAATGGCAGTTTTAAGCCACTGCACCCAGGTTGCCTAGGGCAGGAGTGGTCCCTAGTGGGATAGTGAGGTCACCACAACTGACCAAGGATACTATTTACCCAGGATGACAGA